GTCTGATCAGGATCCATGCTGTTCGCTATCAGTTTCTCTCGCTATCAGTTTCTCTACTTGTAATAGGGTTGGTAAGCGAACAGCATTGCGTGAATGCAAAGGCTGGTCTGGATCCATGCTGGCCGCAAACCCATTATGTTGGTTTTGTCATGGCACGGCTCATATAATAAACAGTATACTATAAGAAGCTTCATAACTTAAAACAGTTTGGACTTGTATCAAAGACATAAACAGATCCGTAAGTTATACACTTCATGTGGTGCAAATAGTATTAGTATTTGGACAACGTGTAAATTGGTAAGGATGGTAGATTCCTTATTTGTTTTCAGTATATTAACATACGCGAGGGGATTTTAAAGGTCATTAAGGAGTAGTCATTGACCTTGCTTAGAATTTCTGGTGGTCTCGGTTGCTGTTTACCATCAGAATTTAAGCAACATGTTGATTATTGTTGTTAATTGCGACGCGAATAAAGTCACATAATGGTTTCTCTTTCTGAAAAAAGAAGGAAACGACGGTAATGTAGAAACAGTAAGTTTGGTATGTCTTTATTAATTCAAGAAACTTCAAGAGAAATATGCTAGAATTAAGCCGTCATCAATATAAATTTTGGTCAGACTACATGTCGGATAGGACGGCCTGTTCTATATTTGTGCCTCAACAGACGGTAGGATTTTGAAGTACAACACCAATTAAAACTAAGATGTACAGACAAATCTTAATGTGTGAAGGCTACTATTTCTTGATTTCGGAAACCTTAAGTCTAGATGTAAGGGATAGGACATGTTCTATTTTGAAAATCTTGTCGTACAGATTTTTACAGACCTCCCACAATGACAAGTAACTGATAAGCAAATTATCTCCTGATAATGGGTGTAATGAATGAAAATCCAGAACAATTAGGGCTAAAAGGTAAACATAGTAGTAAGATGGGGTAAAATGATGTTGAAAAACTCTTCAGGAGACCCAAAGTTGTGTTATGTTCGAATCCCAAATTATTCCGAAAATGATAATGTCACGGTATTGAATTGTTCTCTAATTAGGGGAGGGGAGGTAGTTTGTAGGCGGCCATATAGCTTAGTCAGTAGAGCCGCAATACAGTATTCTGAGGGTCCCCGGTTTGAGTCTCGGTCAGGCTTCACATTAAAAAAAATATATATATATTTGAAATGGAGGCGTTTCAATCATTACTCATGGCGAAAAAAGTATTTAGTGAGTAAAGTATGTAAAGGATCAATGTAAAGGGATACTTTTTAGGGGAAACCTCAGATGATTCTTACAATGTAGAATTACCGTCTGAATGCAAGTGTATAGCTTTGAAAATTGTACATCTTATCTCTAATTAGTGCTGTACAACTAAATCCTACCGTCTGTTGAAGCAAGTCATTTTAAGAGTTATTTTATACATTTAATTGCTAGATAGATAAATTAATGTTACTATCTCAAATTATTTACTCAGAGGGTAGAATAAATAGCGTTGCAGCACATTTGATGCCATAAATATACAAATCAACATGCATGTATCTATTGATGCTCGATCGATCTCGATTTTTTGTTGTTTATTTTGTTTAATTTATTGTTTGAATTCTTAGTTTGAATGACTTGTTCTACAAATTAAACATGTACAGCTCCCACAATTGACAAGTAACAGATAAGCAATTAATCTCCTGATAATGGGTGTAACGAATGAAAAAATCCAGAAAACAATTAGGGCTAAAAGGTAAACATAGTAGTAAAGATGGGGTAAAATGATGTTGAAAAAACTCTTCAGGACGACCCAAAGTTGTGTTTTCGAATCAAAATTAATCCGAAAATGACGGTATTGAATTGGTTCTCTAATTAGGGAAGGGGAGGTAGTTGTTAGGCGCGCCATATACTTCAGTAGAGCAATACAGTATTCTAGGGTCCCACGGTTGAGTCATGTTCAGGCTTCACATTAAAAAAAATATATATATATTTGAACATGGAGCTCTTTCCTTAATTTCATTATCATGCAAAAAGTATTTAGTGAAAAGTATGTACATGACAATGCTAAATGTGTATACTTTTCAGGACTCGTGATTCTTACAGTTAAATTACGTTAAGCAGTAGTTTAATAGTTGATTATACATCTATGCTCTAATTAGTACTTAAACATTTTAAAAAAAATGTTGAAGCAAAGATCATTAACATCAAAGTTATGCACCTATTTATTTTAGTTTATTTATATTCAAATTATTTTCAGATATAACACTAGGTTGCATGCACATTTGACCATTAAATTACATTTGGTTATTGATTGTATCCAATTTTTGTTTTGATAAACAGATTTGAATGCTATCTAATTGTATAAGTAAACTAATCAGCTAGTTTGCAAATCGCATGAGATACAGTCTATAGAATATAATTGTAAGAGAACTACAAATTGATATATTTAAAATAACTTCCAAGCTACAGGCCTATTTCAGTTTGATGTAATAAACAGTCTTATCACGTGACTTAAATTTAAATATTTGCAGAACAGCACGGACTATTTTGTACGTGCGTTTGTTTCATAGCGATTTTTACCTTCCCGCGTCGACAGGCTAAATTAGTGTCAGAAAATCATGCAATACCATGAATTCAGTGTTATCTCGATCTGTAACTTATATAGGCAGTTTTAACATTAATTTTCATGCAAATTTAGATAAAAATGACTTCTGCAGTTCTTTGTTTATGTAGATTTAAGACGAAGTACATTTACCTATCCCACTTTGATAATATACTTAAGCATATTAGTGCATACTTGTATTCATTGTTTCCTGTTAGTATAAAAGTAATTTGCTATGGTGTTCAGGCATTCGAAAGAATTTATTTCATATTTACAGGATACTAAGAGTACGGTTCGTCAATCTCGTTTTGTGCTATCTTCTCTTGAATTTGAATTGTTAGAAGATGACTCTTAAACAAGGTCGACAGGCTCACAATCCCACAACTCCCATTTTTTAGCTAATATATATTCAAAGATCTTGCAAAGTGTATAAAACGAGCGCATAACTTCACAAAAAAAAACCCCAGTTTTTCGTTTATATATTCTAAAATCGTGCAAGTGTCTATAAATTCAATGATACCTGTACAAACTAAATCTAACACGTAAATGAGTTCTCTCATAAGCACACACCTGCATGGAGACACGTGCTGTGTCTTTTTTTGCATTATTTAGCTTTCTATTTTAGATGTCCCGTAGTTTTCCGATACTACAAATATAATTTCAGTATGTTGAATAACATTTACTGCACAGTTGACCTAGCTATGATACGGGTGTTCCAATTTCATCAAAAAGTCGGTTAAGCATAAAGTCGGGTGATATGACTGTGTAATATGTTAGTAAACAAGCTGATATTGCTGATGATGAAATAGCAAAAAAATATATTTTGCATTATGTGACCTACTTAAAAAAATATTCTCTCATGTAAACACTTATTTAGTATATATATACAGTAGATCGTAAAAAATAATAAGGCAAACTGGCTAACCTCGGATAAAATTTTGATAAGCTTGATAAACAATACAATACATAACAAAGTGGTGTGATTTTAGATTTAGTTTATTTTGAATAATGAGTTGATCAATACGACTATATATAGATCTAGTATATAATTCATTTCATGGATCATTGATAAGCCTGTTTACAACAACCGTTGATCAATAATATTTACAATACTTTAGCCCCTGTGCATCGGACAAAAGTTTCACAGAAAAACCAGATCTACATGTATTAAAATAATAATAATAATAATAATAATAATAATAATTAATAATGATAATAATAATAATAATAATAATAAATAAATAAATAAATGCAAGATAGCCTATAACCTAAAAAATATACATAGTAAAACACTCATTCTTATTTATATTAAATTTTCAGGGTAACAGAATAAACATAAGAGATTAACCTCATATGGATCTCACAAATGAGTATATGATATTCCGCTAATCCAGATGTACTCTATAACACCATATATGTGTAGTTCCTTTAATTAGTCCTTATGCATTCTATGTCGAAGTATTCTTTCCGTCGTGGATTCTCGTGTGTCCAAAACATGCATGCGTATTAAGAAATTGTCACTAAACTGTCACATCGCTAGTTGGCGAGATTTCGTAAAATATCTTTATTTCGAATCCGTTTAGTGACATTTTCTTAATATGCATTTTGGACACATCAGAACACCCGACGGAAAGATTATCTCGACAAAGACTGCATTAAAATCCATAACAAAAAATGTGCAAATATAGAGAATAGTCAGGATGGTAGAATTACATTTTTATCTTCTTTAAAAAACTTTAGAAACTTACCCTGTGATTGACCTATTTTCTCGTTATAATATGGTGTACAAATGAATCATGAAATTTTCACCTTAAAAGGCAACTGAAGCCACCATCTAATATATAGATTCAATTTAAGACAACCATCTCCAAAACACAGTAGATAAAAATACCACACCCCAATCTGAAAATGCTTCATATGGGCCTTTTCATAATGTACTAGTACTACAATTGACATGATATTGCCATGTAATTAAACCGCTTGCCCATTTGGAACTCGAGATGTTAATCATAGTTTTACTGTAAATCCACAGAGTATTTCTTTCCGTAGGCTCAAGAGTCAGGCATAAGAGCATCTTAATTTATGACTCCTGGACATACATATATAGGCCTAATAAAAACAAAATGATTTTTTTTCCAACTTACTGAATTTAATCGGCATTACGCTCGAAAAAATTGGGAGGTGTTGGGGTCGGCGGGAAGCTGATCCCCCTCCACTGGCCCTCATGTTAGTCTCGTTCTTTTATTTTGTGTCGCCTACGAAGGATATAGAGAAGACAACAACATCAGCAAAAGCAAACAACAATGAGATATAGGGACTTATATCCCCCAAATTTTCAACAAAGCGACACAACTATTATAAATTATATAATTAAGGTACGTAAGAGTTATCTTGCCTTCTTGATTTTTGTTTAACTCCCCTTCATCGGTTGAATTTATTCCCCTTTCGATATACTACTTTCGGTTTAAAAATTTGGGTAAACAGGCGTTACATTTTGGAAGACATAATTATATTGCCTCAACGTAAAAAGAAGATTTCACCGTATGACTTATTACAGACCAAATCTACATCAGTGAAAAAGTAGGTTAATTTAATATAAATAATGAGTATTGATAAAATTAATATTTAATGTCTGAATTTAGAACACATACAAATCTGATTTTTACCAGTGTTTTCACATAACGAGCACGTATATGTATGCAAGTTTACACACAACTCATGATGTGTATGGTGTCTCATTTGTTATGTCTTGATTTTTTATTTAAATCCACCCTTCCCCCAAACTACAACTTTCGTATCTGTACTTCCTCATGAAACAACAAGAAACACAAACCTCCATTTCCTCCTTGGACGACTGAGATTCGGGACTGTCGTATTTACTAGGTAAATAAGGTTTATTTCTTTGTTTATTACACTTTCAATATTTCATTAGTGATTAACATTGAATCTTTGGAGATCTCACAATAAATTTCTATCTCCAGCGTCGACAATTTACCCCTTCTTCAAAAGTACATGTAGAATTTCATAACTTGTAGGACCCATTTCTCCCCACATCTGCAATCGTTTTCTTATATAGTTATCCTTTAAAACATTTCAGATTTATTGTCACGTGTGAGCAGGAAGCGAGTGGAGCTACTTGGGTCGTAGACGACACGGAATACAGGTAGTTGTTATCGACTACAAAATGGACGAATACTACACTGACAACGACAAAGCTGCGCCGGTTTTACCAACCTCTAAACCTGGAGAGTACTGTCACGGGAGTCCTATTGAAGGTCGGAAGACCTATGGTGAAGCGGAAGGTGCTCTTGAAGTTGAGAATACTAATACGAGTACCAATAATGAGGGTGATGAAACTGCATCAAAGCTGAAACAAATGTCTTGTGATGACCCACAAGATGAAGGCAATATCAGCAGACAGGAATGTATTGATACAGGGCAAGGAAAACATGAAACCAAACACGAGAAAAATCTACTTAGTAACATTTCTGTTTTTACAAAAGATCAGGAATACAAAGAAGCGTCAGCAAGGGAAGAGGACAACATAAAGAAAGTGGATAAAACAGAACAGGGTCCAACTTCCGTAGGATGTAAATTTAATGAAACTTTAAAAGAAGCAGAAGAACAATATGCATACTTTTGGGAAGCTCGAGACCCTTTCAGTCAGTGGCACAGATCGAAATTCCAACTGAATGAACAAACATTTTCTTGTGCAGAACAGTATATGATGTACACAAAAGCAGGTAAACTTTAAATATAATCAATCTAAAGTTCTTATTAAATTCTGATTAATATCATACTAGCCGATGACAGCAAAGAACAACATTTATTTTAAAAAAAATAAAAAGACGCAAAAAGTTTGTTTTCGATAATAACAGTTTGTCAATTTTTCCACCTCATGCGTTTTTTAAGATGAATTTTCTTTTTAGTGTTTTTTCATGATGACAGACTAGCCAAGAAAATTATGAACTGCACGGATCCAAGTCGTATTAAGTCTTTAGGTCGTAAAACTGAACAATTCAGTGAGGATTTGTGGGTAAACAACTGTCTACATGTGGTTAAAGAAGGCAACAAAGCCAAGGTTAGCCATATAAACCATGTAATAGTCCAATCAAATACATGTACATGTGCCAGAATTAATTGTTATAAAAAGTTACGTTTAACAGCATGCATCTTGTTGTTGACTGTTTTTATTTTGTTTGTTTTATGAAAACAAATACATGTATAGACATTTTGATATAATGTATTTATATGGCATTTGGTATATTAAAATCATTCATATGGTGTTGACTTTTCCACCTGTAGCGAGGGAAATGTTTCCGATATTTACGCGTTATGGTTTAATTATGCTTTTAAAAGTTTCATATTTGATTTATTTATGTTTATTCCACTTTGTTTCAGTTCAATCAAAATGTTGAGCTAAAAGCAAGATTGATTGGAACGTATCCTCGTATACTAGTGGAGGCAAGTCCTTATGATAAAGTTTGGGGTATTGGATTGAAGAAATATGAACCATGTGCATGGAATGAGGCAACGTGGGAAGGCAAAAACTTGCTCGGTTACATCCTTACAGAAGTTCGAGATGAACTGATGTATGAGAGCGAAATGATACTTAAACATCAAAGGAAGGTTTGTATATGTTAGAATGTGTATTTTCGGTCTAATTTATATGCAATGCCTATGGTCCTTTTCTTCAATGTATGTCAGAAATGGCTGTTTATGCCTATAAAGGACATATACAAACGTCTTGATATTTAAACGAATATCAACCACATGACAGCAACATCTTTGAATTAATTCACTTAATTAAAATCTAATTGACTCTTTCTTTATGTGAGTCAGTAAAATGAAAGTGTTGTAACCACATTAAAGCTGACGATATGACATGAGTTACAAAACAATTTTAATCACATCTATTTGCATTATTATGCAGGTTTACTTGGAAAAGTTAACACACGATCTAGTTAAAAGTTCTTCAGGGAAAAAAGGAGCATATGACAGATCTCCAAGAGATATTTATTGTCGATCTTCTAATCCCCATCATACAACGGAAGGTGCAAGGCATTCAGATCATCATGCTCACAATCTGAAAGGAAACCGGAGAGATGGTAATGAGTTTATAGGGAGAGATGCAACAACGGGGTCCGATCGGAATGCAAGAATTCACGAAAACATTTCAAGGACATCGGCGTCAAACTCTTCTTGCCGAGAAACTGATAATAATGATCCAAGACTTGAATCAAATTATGAAACGGATTCTTCAGTTAAAACATATCATGAAAAAAATGCCATAGGTACCCGGAGCGATGATGTTTGTTCTGAAAAGAGGAATAAAAATGAGAACCCAAGATGTACAGGTGAACAACACCCTAGAGCTGTCTGTATGGAACCTATTGGACCGGATTGTCGGTTGTACAAACCAGAGTGCAAATGATAAAATAAGATTTTTAAAAAGCCCGTTCATGTTATGACTAATATATTAAAAAGCTTCACCTTGGATTTTTAATACCATACGCTTTGGTGTAACATGATGATGTATGCATGCATTAAGAATGTGTATTTTATTGCTGTTTACTCTTATTTAACGCATTTAACTTTTTAGTGGACTACACAGTGCTTTTAAGTCTAAATTTTTATTTGTTATCAATACTCCTATAGTTAAAGGCAGATTTTATTTGAAGTGTGAATGCGTACGTGTGTGCTTGCATTTGTTTTCTAAACACTTATGTTTTGAGTGACAATTGAATATTTATAATAAACACATTTAAATGTTATACGCGTATTCATAATTATTTGGTAAAAATGTTGAATATATACAAGACGATGTATATAGAAGCTGTATACATTTATTTTGTATAAGACAAGTTTAATTATGTGATTATTGTGTGGTTATGTTATTTTCATTCTTGACATCAATTCAATCAAGGATATATCACAGGAACTCTGGAACAGGACCGCATATTGCGGCGCATAAATCCGAATCCGTACCGGCTGTACATATTAATTGTTTGTCCGACCTTTGAATATCTGTTCATATTATGCGACCGGGTGGTCTTTAATTATCTAATCTCAATTTAATATAATCTGCTAATTTAAAAATCAGTCAAATATACGGTATATTGAAGTCTTTTTTATAATACCGTAAAAGTTGACCAGTTTTAAAAGAGACAGATTGGGTTCAATTGATAATATATTTTTTGAGGCCATATACTCGGATAATACTAAAAGATATTTAGATGTAGCAGAAACGTTACACGATCGAGAATATGCGCCGCAATTTGCGGTCCCGTTCTCGAGTTCCAATGTGATATATGAGAGAAAAATCATAGTTACTATACATGTAATGCTACAATAATTATTTGCAGAAGGTAACATATAAGTGTACAAGGTTGATAAAACATCTTATTTTCATAGGGCCTTCCAAAATAGTAATTATCACAATTAAAACAAGAAAACATTAATAATTAATTAAAAAGGAGAAACCAGTAAAGCCCAAAAAGCAACAACAAAAGCACAAGTTCTCAGAAAAAGTTAAATTCTTCAGTCTAATGGTTTAATAAATAAATTGATACAAAACATTATATGACAGGCACTCGTGATTCATATATAGATTATAAAATCATCTTAAGAATTATGCATTAGAAAGTGTTTATACATGTATTTGAAGTGAGGTACTTCATTTTATTCGATACGGAATATTATTAATTTTCATATTGACTGTGTCTTAATAAGTACTTAAACCAAACGAAAAAGTGGTTATTTAATGCCGATGTCAACACATTAAACGAATTCAAATTAACCCTTGTTATGCTCATTATTATATACAGGTCGTATAAACTCTTAAGAACAACTTGCTCTTTGTGAGCTATTGTGACCACCACCCCTCCATCGTCGTGCGTCGTCAACAATTTCTTTAAACAGCATCTCCTCTGAAACTAATAACTGCACATTAACCAAACTTTACAGGAATGATATTTGGGTGGCCCCCATTATAAAGTTTTCATATGTTTCCGGTCTGTTATATAAAAAGGCCACGCGGCCAGTTAAGAAGTTTCAAAATGCAAATTGAAAAGAAATCTATTTGTTTGAAAGTACAAGCCCAAGAGCTTTGACATTTGGTTTATGGTATCATCTATAGGTCCTCTATTAAAATTATTTAAACGTTGCCTCTAGAGTCAAAATTGGCTCTAATACGGGGGTTTTCCTACATGTACTAGTATATGCACATGCAGTAAAAACTTTTTAAAAATCCTCTGAAATGAGAAAGGCTAGATATTAAACATTAAACAATTAATGTACATTGTATAGTGGTCCTCTATTCTGTTTGTTCAAAATTGTGGACATATAGTAAAATCATAGAGCTAAAAGACGTTAGAGCTCTGAAACAGAAACCATTGTCTAGTGGACCTCTATTATAGTTGTTCAAGTTATGCCTCTAGTGTCAAAATTGGCCATTTCCCGGAGTTCAACATTGTGTAGTGAAACTCCACCAAGTATGTTCACTTTAACTCGATATGTGTAAATCACAGGCTAAGTTTTCAACTTTTTATTTTTTTTTATAAAATTCAAAGATTTTTTAAAGAAAATTGAAATGTGATTCTACCCTCCCGACTTTCCCTTATATTTACCCAGCGGAAAGGCACATATATTTTTTAGCGATGCTCAATTTTAAGATCCATATGGGGTTCCACCCCGTGTAGGGACTCACGCACCCTATCACATCATCCTCTTCGTCTCTGCCTACATCGTAGGGCCTCTTCCCTCGGCTTAAGTCAGGACATCGGCAGCTGGTCGAAGTAGCATTCCGGTAACAGGCAGGTTAATTAAATATACCCACCAAGCGGCAATTTTTTTGCTAATGCCCGACGTGCACGCACCAAGGGAAAGTATATCATACCTTAAAAACACAGAATGATTCTGTATTATATAAGTTTGTTATACGGGTAATATAAAGGAAATACAATGTGGTATAGGTAAACTTGAAGCTATGTCATTGTTCATTTTATGTCCTTAACTTGCGCATGAATAAGTACACCATGTTACTTTGTAAATATTTAGTTACCTTTTTAGGCTAGGTAAATCGGCGAAAAGTCCGAATAACTGCTTCCATCACCAATGCTGTGATCAGCACTCCGATTTTATTTACCATCAAGCATTTTAAGTAATATGTTTTTATCATACAAACTCGTAAAATCCATTTAAGACTAAATTTTCCATATAAAAAAAAAAAATAAACAAGCCTTTGTTTATAATATAGTAAGCTGTTTTAGATGTTTTAGATTATATACATGTATAAGTACCAAACTACATATTCTACACAAATGTTATTTATTGGTTATGTACTGTACGTTCGATTTGTATATGTCATAAGAACATCTTCATAGTGACTAGTATTAGCGTATATATGCAAGAAAAAAAGAAATATTATATTCGTGTAGTTTCATTTCTAAATTAATTGAACTCCTTGAGTGGCTTACGAATATATTTTTATCAACTCATTCAATATTTTATTACTTCAATATACTCTATACATGTAGCTGCTATATGTTTAGCTTCTGTATAATCATAATTTAATAAATTTAGCTTGTAACGATTTAGACCTATAGAATTGACCTTTTCGAAAACCTAGCTAAACACCGTTTTCCGGTACGTTACCGTTTAAGCTCTGGGGAATTAAATAACACAGTTACGTGATATTTCTATTTTTCTATCATTATTTAACCGTTTAAGGTAAAAAAAATGATGTTATTGAAAATTATCAATATTCCTTTAATATATATTGCAAATTAATCAAAAAAATAAATAATTTATAATGAAAATCAATAAAATTCAAACAGACGTAGTGGAATCTCCCATAATAAATAAGGTTATTTTCTGCGTAAACTTGTGTATTTACTTTATTTTTTGTATGGAATTATTCATACAATGATATTTAATTATTTTCTTATAAAGAAATAACTGTTTTATTTCAATTTAATTTTAAAAAGGCCGAAAACATCGAGTTCGCTATTACACTCCATTAGGTGAATTCCCCAGAGCTATGTACAGAAAGTACCGGAAAACGGCGTTTAGCTAGGTTTTCGAATTCGTGAATCACGATTTAACATTTTAATATTTTTTTAGATCTCGGAAAAATGTGTTTAAATCACTCTAATCAGGTTACTTATCCTTTCTGACCAATTATTCTTTTTACTCAAAATTGATTTCATGTAATAAATGAAGGTCCTAAATATCAGAATATTACAAAGGACCACAGCAGCTTGATATTCTGTATATCCCAGGTATACTCGATTAATAAAGTTTAATGTTGAACATTGTTCCAATGCAGTCCATGCTTACTTGATTTGAATACACTACTTTCGGTTTCACAATATGTTGTTACAAAAATGTTGTGCAATTTGGTGTGTAAGATCCTGGTACATCTAGAATAAATAGGTCGTTAAAAATAGAAAATTATTATTAGATAGATATTTGTGTCTATGAAGACACTGATGTGAAGAGGAAAAAGACGCAAACGAAAAATACAGGTTAGTTTCTCTTTTGCTTAGATCAGTGTAGATTATCTAAGAATAATTTAGATATCAAAATAATCAGTTAACATGTACGATCATGAATTTAAATTGTAAATTTCAGATTTATTTGTGTTCTTCCACTTCATTTATCCATTGTTTATAGGTATAGACTGGACATTAGAATGTGTCCGCAAGTGTTTTTAACATTATGATTTCCCCCAAATATTAAATTTCATCAATATTTATGTTTTTCTACAAACACACTCAGATCACTGCTAGGGTTAGGTTAGGGGTTAGTGTTATGGGTTAAGGTTAGGATTTTAAAACATAGATCTTGCTGCAGAAGTTATCTAAAAGTGCTCCGGCATATATTTTGTCAACTGTATGACCGATACTGCAGTATTGCAATCAAATTGTGTCATATTGTTTCAAATTCTTTGCAACATTTAATCTATTAGATTGGCAATTTGTCTTTTAATACTTTCCAGTTATATCATACTTCCACTGTGTATAAAAATTCAAAACATTATAGGTCTATTCAATCACTAAGCTTAATAGCTTGGTGTTTGTTAAAAATGGAAAGAAAGTTTCACAAGTTAGAGCAACCACAGGGGGCCCACACAGTGTGGCCCACACAGTGTTTGGATGGTATATACTGCTTGATAGTGACCTTGAAATGAGATTTTAGTCATAACCTTATAATATGTATATAAATATATTTATATACATATTATAAGGTTATGACTAAAATCTCATTTCAAGGTCACTATCAAGCAGTATATACCATCCAAACACTGTGTGGGCCCCCTGTGAGAGCAACATAATTCATTCACAAAATGCAGCCCCGGCTAGACTTACAAATCTGTCTGCAGCAATTTTTTGCATAATGAATTTACCCAAATCACTCAGATTAGTTTTAGGGTTAGGGTTAAGGGTTAGTGTTATTGGAAAGGGTCAGGGTTAGAATTTTAAAACATGGATTTTGCTGCAGACATATTCTAAAAGTGTTCCAGCAGCCCCAAAAGAAGAATCACAGGACCACTGGTAAGGAGCTAAGCATGGCCACAAACAAGAAAGGAGGGTAAAAAGGTTGGGTAAGGATGGGGCACGTAAATCAAAGCCAATGAATGAAAATATTAATATGAAATAAATGAGATCATTAACAAAGTCGGCATAAATGCATTTTCTGTGTAGCGCCATTTAAGTCCCTGTCATGGCATAATGTCCCTCAATGTCATGTAAGTTTGGATATAGGACTCACATATACAAACTCGGCTTCTATTGGGGAAACATCAAGGGCCACTCTGAAGCCATTAAGAGTAAGGCTTACAAATCTCTTTAATTGTTTGACCCAAGCTGAAGAATAAGTCTTGTGTCTGGTCACTATGCACTGATGCTCTCATTGGCCAGTCGGACTACAATAATTAATTGGACATCAAGCATTTCTGTCATGCTTGGTTCCCTAGAATGGTGGAGCCTTGTACAAAGACACATAGTTTAATACCTGAATTTTATGTTTTATAATACATGTATTTTACAAAATACTGTTAACCATTCCTTTGCCAGACTACTCAAATCAGTAACAAAACAAACTCCAAATTCTCATTCCAATTCGCTTTCAAACAATTTAAGCAACACTTGACAATTGCAAAAACTTATTTTTGTCCAGGACCATTTATCACTTGCCCCTTGCAGGGCTCATGGTAAAAAGTGCTTTAAGCTCGATTTAACATGTCTTACCCTAAACACACAATGTCATACATCGAAGGATTTTTAAATAACTAGGCATAAATGTCTACCACATCAAGACAACATGTCACAACAAAGACCCATGTCCCTACCTTCAAGGTCAAGGTCACACTTATAGTTTGAAGGTACTCATTCTTTCGAGAAGAGTTTGAAGATACACATTCATGTCCAGACTGTAACTTTGTCATGCATGGAGGGATTTTAAAATAACTTGGCATAAATGTGTACCACATCAAGACAATGTGTCGTGGCTAAGGCTCATGTTCGTCTGTTCGTGTGTCCCCACTTACACAACAATCATGTCCAGACTGTAACTTTGTCATGCATTGAGGGATTTTAAAATAATTTGGCACCAATGTCTATCTCATAACAACATTTTGTCGCGTCCAGGAACCACGTCCCTTCTTCAAAGGTCAAGGTATCACTTATATTTTGAAGGTTCATGCGATCACATTAGAGATTACAGGTACAATAATACAACAAACAATATTCAGCAATTAGTTACTTTCATTCTATTTTCTTTTCATAATACCTGCATGCTTAAGAAACCTTTTCGGGGGCATTCATCACTTGGGTGACAGCTCTTGTTTGGGAAAAAGAAAAATAAAGTATGGCACATGCTTGTGTTAGCTCTTGTTTTGGGAATAAAGATAAAACATATAATTCAAGTTAATTTACTGATTAGCACAAGATAATCAAGATTTGAAATGAATATACATTTGCAGTTATAATTGTTCAGTTTGTCTTATAACCTTTATTTAGAATGGAGACCAGTTCATCTGAAGAAATTAACAATGTTGTAGGAGACGATTTATTGAGAGATCTTAGTAACAAAAACAGAAATGCAGATGACAATTCTGAAAGATGCCTTACTATGGACAACAAACCAGATTGTACAAAAGAAATCAATGAATCTGTTAACTCCCAGCCTGCTGAGGAAGGTTATCAAAGTAAGGGAGGTATACCAGAGGTTGATAAAGGTGGAGTAGGTATACCAAAGGGTGATAAAGGTGGAGGAGGTATACAAGAGGGTGATAATAGTGGAGGAAGTATACCAGAGGGTGATAATAGTGGAGGAGGTATACATGAGGTTGATAGAAGTGGAGGAGGTATACCAGAGGGTGATAAAGGTGGAGTAGGTATACCAGAGGGTGAAAATAGTGGAGGAGGTATACCAGAGGCTGATAAAGAGAAACAAAGTGAAACCCTGAGACAAAAATCTGATGAGGATGCTCTCATTCAAAATAAAGATTCACATGATAATGGTTCAAATATTACACCTAACATGAACAATGACTTTGATGGAAACCAGTATTCTCATGCAGTTGAAGTAAAAGATACATGTACAACAATATCAGTTCCAGGTAATTTGATGATTATTGATGTTACTAGTACACCGTCAGAAAACTTGCAGGATAGTGTACAAGAAAGGCATGAAACTGGTCAGTCGGAAAGTAAAATGAAAGATGCTAGTAAACCTGCAGGTACTGCAAACGGTAATAAAGTCCCATCTAAGGAAAGGGAAGATGCTCTTGCAGCTTTAAGGCAGGGACAAACTTATGATGAAGAGGAAGACTTTGAAGAAGATTATTTTGATGTTGAGAAATTTAACAAAGCCAGAGAGAATTATGTTTACTTTTGGAAAAATTATGATATTTACAGCCAGTGGCATAGCTCAGTTTTCTACGTCAATGGCAAGAAATTTTGTAATGCAGAGCAGTATATGATGTTTAAGAAAGCAGGTAAATCCTTTATACATTTATAGAGATAGCTAGTAAATAGTACATGTAATGCTTTTCTAATGCATGGAAATAGAAGTGGCAATTTATCTCTTAGCAAGGGAATAGTTGTTATTTGAAATTCAGCAAATGTGGGTTTTTTCCACAAGTACTATCTCCCAATACAAACAAACTTTTTCGATTAAAACTCCATGGTGCACTGCTGTTCAACCAGTTGCACTTATTTAGAAGTTGTATTTGTGAATGTTTTTTGTACCCCAGGATATAGCTGGTAAACACAAACTATTCTTATTTCTTGAGTAAGTCTATTAACTACTAAGATAGTCAATTGCATGATTGTATATAAACCAGGCTGGTGAAAATGCCCGATTGGGCTTATGACATAAAAAATCTTATTTTTAGAAAATAAATAAATATATTTCTTTTAAACTTTGTTTATTTATTGAGAATAATATTTGACATAAACTGAATGAAAAATATTTGGTTATTGTCACCTTTGTGAGTATTATTAAATTTTCCTCTTTTTATTGTTTCAATAACACATAATGTTTGAAGTCCTTGAAAAATATGTTACATATTCAAAGTGTAAAACAAAATAGAGTAAATAACTTCTTTGTGCTCTAATTATTGAGCCAATCTAATTATTGAGCCAACACCTGTCAGCATACATATCATTCAGTTTTCAGACAAAAATTCAAAATATAATGTTCAGTGTCAAAGCATTGTCAAAATATAAATGCAAAAAAACAGAATATTTAATCCAAATATATAGAATAAAGATACTGGCCAGTGCAATAATCTAGAGCAAAATGAAGTTGTTGGACACATTTCTATTAGAATATTTCATTACAACATAATTTCTACGAACTTAAAATATTTTGTTTCCACAAAAAGAGAAGAAGGGAAATAGTTCTAAGAAAAAAGAAGATAACCAAAATGTTTTTATTTTTATTTGTATCATATGTAAATGCTTAATAAACAAAACAAGTGAGAATGAAACATATTAATTATTTTTTTAGAAATACATTGTATGATATTTTATGTTTAAGCCCGATCAGGCATTTTCACCAGCCTGTTAACATGTATGATAATTTTTATAACAAATTATAAATCTGTTGCAAGGCCATTAAAATGTCCAATTTTCTCATATTCATTAGAATTTAAAATCATGGCAAACCAGTTATCAGAAGAAAAGCATGGGAATTAAAATGACCAGAAATCTATGGAATATATTAAATGACCTATTTTCCTATAGATGTTATGTTATTTAACTTAAAATCATTTTGAAAAACATGTGTTCCTAAATTTCTATAATTTAATAGGTGATGTTAAATTTAAAATATTCTATTCAGAGTTATTTGAAGATAGAGAGATTGCTAACCAAATTTTGAAGTGCAAAGATCCCAAGAAGATAAAAGCTTTTGGGCGGAAAGTAAGGGGATTTAATCAGGAAATATGGCAACAGCATTGTTTATATATTGTCAAAGAAGGAAATAGGGAAAAGGTAAGCAATTTTTTTAGATAGATTATAGAACCTTTAATGGACATAATATTGCTCATTTAATGTCTATTATTTAGGTAAAGATTAACTGTATTAATTGGTATTGAATATATTCATTTAAGAACATATTGTGAATGATAAGAGGGTTGCACCTTTTTCCACACATTTACATCTGCAGAAGTATGAGAACACATTGAAAGCCCACATCTGTAGGCAAGGGAATTAATGCAGGAAAAAATATACATTATTGCTACTCTTGCATAAAATTATATGTCTAAATCAGGAAATAGTATTTCCTTTTCGGTACTTTGTATGAAGAAACCATTGCTTAAGCTATGCTTTTCAGATGTCATTTGACAGTAACTGTTATAGTTTGATAATAAAACTCTAAGCTCTAAGTTTTAAGCTCTTTTTACATTGCACCCTGAGATACACTACATATAATTAAAAAAAAGTGCAACAACTGCTCTTGCCTTGGTCATGACAATCTAATGCATTTTTTCTTCTCTATTAATTGTTTACCTGCATGTGCAGTTTTTATACAGGAAAAAGTATTACTTTTTGAATGATAAAGTATTACTTTGTTTTTATATTTTTGAAACAAACAGCCAAATGAAATGATCACATTATTTTAGACTCAGCCTTGAAATCAGAAGAGGGTAAACTCTTAGAGCTGATTAGGGGAAATTTACTTGATTTAAATTCACATTTATGAATTTTCTTAGTTGTTGATCCATTTTAACTAATATTTCCTAATATCATTCATAGTTTTACTATGTATCATAGGAAAACATATTATTGGCAATAAATAAAGTTGTGCTTTAAAAAATACATATATGCATGTACACCAAGACTTAGAATATTTAGTGTTTTTTATGAACTTGTAAATGTTCATGTGTCAAAATGTTTTTGTGGAAAGGTGAATATTTTGATATTGTTTCATATTTGATATTTTACTCTTTATGAAACAGTTTTTACAAAACAACGATTATCTGGCAGACCTACTATTGACATATCCAAAAGTTCTTGTTGAAGCTAGTCCATATGATACTATATGGGGTATAGGGCTAACTGAAGACTCTCCGGAAGCTTGGGATGAAAGCACATGGCAAGGATCAAACTATTTAGGATATGTAATTACTGAGGTTCGAGATGATATAATGGTGGAACGTGGTATGATTGAAGACGAAGACAGACAGGTGAAGTGTTGATACAAATTCTTTGAAAATCAAGTTGACAAATACTGTATATATAATTTTCATGTTGTTGCTGTATATTTACAGAGATTTAGATAACAGAGATAAGCAGCTCATTGTACTCCATTGAAATATCACTCATGCCTATCATATCTCTAATATGAGAGTACCTATGATAGTGGTTGTATGATGTATATTGTTGAATATTTTATCTGACACTCAGAATTCATGATATCATTGAAGTTTATTAGTCCCCTACCGGATTAACCGGAGGGGACTTTAGGTTTACCCTCCGTCCGTCTGTCTGTCCGTTCGTCTGTGTGTCTGTCAGTCTGTCCGTCCGTCCACAAAACTGGATCCCGCCATAATGCAAAAAGTACTGAAAATATTTTTATGAAACTTCATATATGGATAGATGGCAGTATGGAGATTATGCATGTCTTTTTTCTTCTTCCTATGTTGGAAATTCTGGAAATAGTCTGAAAATATGGCAAATTTATCACATTTACTGGATCCAGTGATAACTCAATATTTTTATGAAACTTGAAATATGGGTAGATGGCAGTCTGGAGATTATGCACATCTTTTTCTTTTCTTCCTATGTTGAAAATTCTGGTTGCTATGGCAACAAATAGCCTGAATTTCAAGATTTCTTTCACTTAAGTTCTTTATTTCTTAAGGTGTTTACTTCAAACTTTAAATATAAGTTTCCAGTCATCAACCACATCATATGTGACAAGGTTTTCAACTCTAGCACAAAAATTATCAGTATAACCTCCCTTGAACTTAGAATTTTTATGAAAAAAAAATGTTGTCTTTTTTAAATAACTTCTTTATTTCCTAATGTATCTACTTCAAACTTCATATATATGTTTCTTATTATCACTCAACATTTTTGAGACGGTTAAATACTCTAGCAAGACTATTTCCAGAATTATGTCCCCCTTGAACTGAGATTTTTTTCGAGAAATTGGTATTTTTCACTCCAACTTCTTCATTCCTTATAGGATTTACTTTAAAATCCCACATTGTAATAATATGACAAGGTTGTATAAACATAATTTCCTTACTAGGCAGGGAAACTTAACACATTACTGTGATAAAGACAAACTTAGAACTCAAAAGATTTAAGTTCATTCATGTCATTCATTCACTGGTAAAATTGAATGGCCAATGGCCCATCAGAATGTTGCTGGGGTTCTAACAGGTAGGGGACTTATGGATTGCTTGCAATACTATGATAATTGCTTGTGATTACAATAGTTGGCATCATTTTGAAGATAAATCATGAATTAAGGAGTAGTTACTACTTCAAAAACATTGACAAGGGCGGCAAAATCAAATGTCTGTATAAGTTGTCCCACAGCCTGTATTGACAAGTGAATTTTTATTAAGAATGTACTTTATTGATATCAAACAAATAAGACAAAAAGATGAGTCAGATAAAACAGACAAATCAGATTTTGCCATAGTAAATAGATAGCCATGACATTTGGCCAGTATAATTGTTTTAATATTTTTTGCCAACAAACAAGTATACTATGGTCTCCTTGTAAGATAAAAACAGGACAGACTTTAGTGATCTTTTTAAATTTGGTAACTTTTACGTGTTTATGTTGACCTCATTTTTTTGGTCTCCAAAGGTTATTTTTACCCAGCTTCTAGATGATAGTTAAAATTGCTCTAAACACAGGCCATCATCTTTGAAAAATGGTTGTAATATCAACAAAAGATTGATAAATCATAAATAGAGAAATTTTGTTTATTAAGGCTGATACAGGAGTTTTTAACTTTTAAATGAAAATGTTGAGTTTATCTACTGTAGTAGTGTAAAAAGACCCTGTTCTAGATACCTCATTTAATGACCATAAAGTGAATTTGTCTGTAATAGTTGGTCTGCAATATAATGAATAGTAATGTTGATAGTATTGGATATAATACAAGTCAACAAATCAGGAAAGAAATATATATGAATGTTGTTTGTAAGTGTGGGATACATGATTTAATATTTCATATCTTTATAAACTATAACAGACATTGAAATGTTCTAGAACAGAATATTATTATTCATGGTGTATATGTTTAGACCTGTATCAACATTTTTTAAAGAAATATTTCATTTGAATATCCAAATGATACATTTCTATTGTATTTTTTATTATTTGAAATTTGCATGTGGCAATAAAAATCTTGTGCATATACATGTACATTGTATATAAGATAATGCAGCTATAGATATATAAATAGCTATTCACTTTCATATATACAAAATGATATGCTTATAGACAGACAAACATATTTTATAAATTGTTTTACAGAAGTATATAGAAACATTGTTAGCAGCTTCAGGATACGCATATGGGTATGACAGCTACATGGAGGGAGGCGAAGCAAGGCAAGGGCATGCTGGACATACAGGCGGAAATACTGAGCATGATGAACACACAAAAGGTCATGATGCCAAAAAAGAAACATACTTCCTGTTTGACAGGGGCATTTTCAGTCAGTTTTACCCAAGTCACTTCGTGGTTGATGATGTAGATTTTTCGTCTGCTGAACAATATATGATGTACAAGAAAGCAAGTAAGAATGCTATCAATATTCTATTATATTCTTTTATATTTTTTTATAACTATAGTCCAAGAGTTTACTCATCTTTAAAGCTTAGCAGAACCAGGAATGTATAGTGACTTTACATATATTAAACATACCCTAGCTGAACCAGTGGTTCACGATGAACTATTATCATAGAGTTAATATTTTAGAATCTGTCATTTGGTCTCAACATTGATCAACTCTTTTGTAAATACTGGGCATTGAACATTTATTCATGATTAAATAATCCATTTTGGTTTAAAGTATTTAGAGAGCAGTCATATTTAGCTTAGCATCTTCATCTACATCACAATATTTGTTTCAAGTTTACTACAATCATGTTGTTATAAATATAAAAGACAAAAGAAAATATATTGCATACACTGGGACTTGTGTTTGAGCTGTTGAAGTGCTGTTATAACACCTAACATTAGTACTTGTTGAAAGCAGATTCCACATTTACTCAGATATTTTTGGCTTCAAGCTTTCTTTACTATCTAACTTTTTTGTATTAAAAACCTTAAACTTATGTTGTCTTATTTTTTCCATTTACAGTGTTGTTCAATGATGATAAAGCTGCGAAGGAAATTTTAGCTAAAACTGAGCCGAAAAAGATCAAGAAATTGGGTCGGCAAGTGAAAGGGTTTGATGAAGAAAAATGGCAGAAAGAGTGCCTTTATATTGTCAAGAAAGGAAACATGGAAAAGGTAATGTCTTTCATATTAATGTTTTAATACATAGGGTGTCATATGATTACTGTAATTTAATTATAAAATAATACATGATGTTCATGTATATACTCGTAAAAAAAGTTTGTCTATATATCTGAGTCTGTTAAAAAGGCAAACAGAACATCATAGCTTGGTGAAATAAAGTAAATATTAAATTTTTTTCTTAAATAAAGTACATATTTAATGTTTTTCTTTATGGTGTCATCACCAACATTTAAATTATTCCATTCTATGCACACAACAGAATCAAAGCTTTCATATTTATGTAGCATAACCATAATGATGTAGCTCAATACCAAGTTTTTCTATCTTACATAAATGTGGTACAAAACTGTACAACTATTGGTCTGATATTGTAACAATTTTACATGATTTATAGGTGCTCCTTAAGTAGTAATTATGCTTAAATTATACTACTCAAAATTTGCTAAGGATCACTTTTTCTACAGTGCGTTACTTTTGTGTATTTGTAATAAATGTGAAAATTGATTAAAAGGAATTAAATATAATTATTTAGGAATTTATTTTTATAAAAAAATAATGAAAATGGAAGTGTTCCTTGACGTGTGCCTGTTGTAGAAAGGGTGTGCTGGATGAAAATCAACATTTTGGAGATCACATAGTGGAATAAAAAAATCTTGCAAATCAGGAAATGGTTGGCATACGGTGTTTAATACAGAGTATGGTGTTCACAGGCATTAATTACGGCATTGCCGCCGCATGCTGCTGATGAGCCTGCTGATGTGTAGGTCCGTTTTCCCCTGAGTGCTTATTCCTGCCCACACCATGACTGAACCTCCGCCAAAACGGTTGTGTTCTGCAATGCATGCTGGAGCTAAGCTTTCATTTGGACTTCTCCAAACCCTAGCCTGTCTGTCTGTGAAGTCCACACAAAACCTTGACTCATCAGTGAAGAGGACTGGGGTCCAATCATCAACTGCCCATGTGACATGAGTCTGCGCTCATTGCAAACGCTCTTGAAAATGGTGTTGTGTCAAGGGAATGCGAATTGCTGGCCTCAGTGACCTCAATCCAGCATCATGCAACCTGTTTCTAACAGTTTGTGTGCTTACACGCAAAACAGTTGCATTCTGGAAGTCGTTACATAAGGTCCTACTGTTAGAAAACCGTTGGCACCTGGCCTGAAGGACAATAAATCGGTCATGGGCTTGAGTCGTTGAAAGTTCCCGACCTCCGGCTTGGCCCTGCAAGACATTTCCAGTAATTTGGAATTGGTTCCACATCCTGGAGACGCTCTGGGATATCCCAAGGACATGGGCAACATGCTTTTGTGAACGACCAGCCTCCAACATTCCAATACCCCTGTTCATCTCATCTTCACACAGATGACGTCTAACCTGTTTATTTGCCATAGTTTGTTAATTTCAAACACAGTTTTACAATAAAACAAGAGAAGTCTTGCTGCTTGTACATATTTAAGTGAAAGCACATGGCCATAAAACACTAAATCTCCATGGGTATGTTTTTCCATGTGCTTATCATGCAAGGTGTACATGACAAATAGATAACTTAAGTACACGATTATGAGGTCCCCGTACAGGTGTATTGTTAGTGGAAATGTGATTTCAATATGATGATAATAGGACTGAAATATGCAATGTCAAAAAGTTGATCCTTAGCAAATTTTGAGTTATATATTTAATTATTTTTTTAATGAGTTAAGTTATCAATCTTTGCTTGCAAATAAAATGAAGTTAATTTTGAGGATGAAATATTTAAAATTAATACTTAAATTTATCATCTGACATTGTATTTTTTATAACTTTAGGGATTTAACTATTTAATACATTTTTTTTCAGTTTTCTCAAAATGAAAAATTGAGAAAAGCTATTGTGACAACATACCCAAAAGTTTTTGCTGAGGCAAATCCTTACGATAAAATATGGGGAATTGGTCTGAAAATCAGAGACCCAAAAGCAGACAAAAGACACACATGGCAGGGGAGAAATTTCCTTGGTTACATTTTGACTGAAGTCCGCGATGAACTTTTGAATAAATGGGGACTGCTAAAGGAGGAAAAAGTATCGGTAAGTTGAGACTGACATTGAGTTGATATGAAAGGAATTGAATAATTATTTTTCTTTTCAAATTAAATCTGTAAATGGCCCACAGATGATATGATATTGCTCTCTCTAAAAAATAAGCACATACTGATGCTCAATTATTATACCCCCCACAAAGCCTAGCTTGTCGGTCAGTCGGTCCACATCATGGTTTCTGGATGATAACTAGAGTTTGAAATGAGGTATTGTAATCAAACTTTGAATATAGCAACCTAATATGGAAACCCCACTTGGTATAGCATTTAGACCCCTTGGGGTCAAGGTCAAGGTCACCATTACTAAAAATAGAAAAAGTGGTTTTCGGATAATAACTAGAGCTAGGAATGAGATATTGTAATCAAACTTGGTGTATAGCCAGCTCATAGAAAGATCCCAGTTTGTATTGCATTTGGACCCCCTTAGGTCAAGGTCACCATTGCTAAAAATAGAAAAATGATTTCTGGGTAATATTTTATTTGAAATATCAATGCAATATCATAATGCAAATGAATGTTTTAAGTTTGATAACTCTAATAGGTAGTTATACCCCCGCACAACAAAGTTGTAATGCATACTGGAATCAGCTGTCCGGCCGTCCGACTGTCAGGCGTCCGTCAGTTTTTCTTGTCCACCCAATAACTTAAGATTCCTTTGACCCACAGTCTTCATATTTGTCATGGAGGATAGTCATGATTAGTAGATGACCCCTATTTATTTTGAGGTCACCATGTCAAAGGTCAAGGTCACAGGCACCTTGACTTCAAAAAGCTTGTCTGCCCAAAAACTTAAGATTTCTTTGACCCACAGTCATCATATTTGGCATTGAAGTTAGTCATGGTTAGTAGATGACCCCTATTTTTTTGAGGTCTCAAAGTCAAGGTCACAGGGGCTTTAACTTCAAAAAGCTTGTCTGCCCAATGACTTGATTAGTAGATGACCCTTATTGATTTTGAGGTCACCAGGTCAAAGGTCAAGGTTACAGGGGCCTTGAATGAAAAAAACTTGTTCGCCCAATAACTTCAGATTCCTTTGACCCACAGTCTTTATATTTGGCAAGGTTAGTCATGATAAGTAGGTGACCCTTATTGATTTAGAGATCACCAGGTCAAAGGTCACGGTCAGAAGGGCCCTGACTTAAGAAAGTTTATCCCCCCAATAACTTAAGAATCCTTTGATCCACAGTCTTCATATTTGGCATGGAGGTTGATTATGACCATTGAGTGAACCCTACAGATTTTGAAGTCAATGGGTCAAAGGTCAATGTCACAGGGGCCTTTAGTTCAAAAAGCTTTCCCGCAGAAGAATGCTTTGGTCAAAAGTCTTCATACTTAGTATTGAGGTTGGTTATGACTATGAGATGACCCCTATTTATTTTTAGGTGACTGTGTCAAAGGTCAAGGTCACAGGGGCTTTTATTACAATAAGCTTGTTTGCTCAAATGCCTGTCCACAGTGTATTGATTTGGCAGAGCTGCATTAATGGTGGGGGGGGGGGCAGGCATTGAAGTCATTCAGTGGCAGTTTCAGTTTTGAGGTCAGTAGGTCAAAGGTAAAGGTCACTTTGATCTTTGCCACTAAAAACATGTAGAATACATAACTTAGCAAAGCACTGGTTTACTTCCCTCAGATTTGGCTGGGAGGTTGTCCTTGAGCTCTAAATGACTACTGTTGATTCTGAGAAAGTGGTATGCGGGGGTATTCACCCCATGACAGTGGCAGTTCTAGTTTGACCTAATTGAGACCCTTTTTTACACCAGAACAAATTTTGTCATGTAATGTTATGCACCTAGTTGTCTGTATGTTAACAGTTTTGTGGCTGGTCGAAGGAAATTGAAACTACTTGACAGATATGTTAACCTTAATGAGATGAAGTGTATAGCACCAGGGATTACAATGTACTTGATTATATAGACTCATGCAGGAAAACACATAAAGTTTTATTGTGTGAAACTACAATGTCTAGAGCTTAGATATTTAGCATAGCATTGCCTTATTGCCCTACAAACTGGTATGACTCATGCTTCTTGGTTCAATATTGGCCCAGCCCCAGGGATCACTTGTTTTGTATAGACTTTTATAGGAAAACACATCTGAGACTTATTGTGTGAAACTACAAGGTATTTGGCATGAAACATCACTTTGTGGACCACAAAAAAACTGGTATTTATCATGCCCCTTGGGTCAATACTGGCCCCATCCCTAAGGTCACTTAGTTGATATGGTCTTGTATGAGAAAACTCATTTCAGTTTTATTTTATAAACTACAATGCCAAAATCTAAGATATTTAGCATAAAGCATTTGCTTGTGAACGTCTGTAAATTTTTATTAATCATGTCCCTGGGGTCACTATTTGTCAGCCCTGGTTTACTTGATTTATATAAACTTATATAGGTAAACACATTTAAGTCTTATTGTGTATAACTACAAAGCCCAGATTTTGATATTTGCCATGTAGCATCAATTTGTAGATTTCCACAAAAGTTATATTTATCGTAACCCTCAGGTCAAAATTGCCCCTGCCACGGAAGTAACTTGCTGTACATGTATGTAGACTAAGGTATTGGAGAACACATCTTTTTGTGGATAAAATTCTTAATACTATGCCTATATATTTGACATATAAGATTGCCTAGTAGACCTTTATAACAGTTTTATGAATCATACACTAAGGGTAGAAAATGCGTTCACCTTGTAGGTCATATAGTATCATTTGGATAATTAAGATAAACATTTGTCAGACATGTTTTTTTATTGAAGACCAATTAAAAGGTTATTTTTTATTATTGAAACAAATTATCATTTGGGTTTATATTGCCCAGATTATTTTTGATAACTCAAACAAATTTACATTCGGGCATATTGCCCTGCCTTTGTTGTGCTCTTTTTATTCAAATTGGCTTCAGAAGACAAAAAAAGGAAAAACCTTTTTTCTGTAAATTTACTTTTAAAAGATTTGTTGTTTGCTTTTAGAAAAGTGAAGAAGTCATGGATACCCCAATTTTCTTATAAAAATTAAAAGTGTATCTGTTTAAATGTATCAGTGAGTTCAAACAATGAGCTGTTTACACATATAAATCTTTTGTTATTTAGTTGTTAAATTTACTTTTAATAAGAAAACAGTTAGAATGTCAAAGTCCATTCACGTGTCAATAACTAATTGATCTTTGCAGAAATATATTGAGAAGCTACAAAAAGATTGGGTTGATGATTTAACTAAAAATGATCCACACACCACCACACCAGAGACAGACTATCCCATGGAAGCCAAAGTTGACAGCTGGTGGGAAAATAGTCATGAAGATCTAAATCTAAGAAATAAAGATAATTTCAGCACTGAACATAATGACAATGGTAAAGATGACAGGAATACAAAACATGCTGTTGATCACAAAAAACATAATGATGATGTTCACCATGGGAATTATTTCTCTAAACATGTTGATGACCATACAAAACATAATGATAATAATAAAGAGGACAACAAACAATCCTCAAAACAAAGGGGTGACCATCAACATCATGGGAGAAACTTCAAAAAGAATGAAGACATAAGGAAAGAAACTGGAGATAGAAATAAATCAAGGACCAAAGATAAAGATAGTAAAGAGAAAAGAAATCGTTCACCATTGAGAAATGAGACAGCAATTCCTAAGACAGATAACAAACGTTCTGTTGGTAAAGAAAAGGATTCATCGTTAAACATAGGACATAAACTAGCAACACATGCTGATAGAGATAGTACAGTTATGGAAAAAACTGTAAAATCAAATCAAGGTAATAAAAAAGGAGAAAATGTTCAGAAACAAAATAAGGATAACGGAAAGCAAGAAATTGTTGTTGAAGACTTTGATATACGAGTTGTAATGGCTGCTTATTCAAGTAATGATCAGGTAATAGACAAGAAACCTGAATCAGCATCAAATAAAAAAGGAAGTAAGAAAGGACAGTCTCAGCATGATGACAAACATTCAGAAGAGATTCATGAACCTTTAACTGATAGAGCTGAAGGAATGCCCTGCCAAGATAAGTCTAGAAGAAGAAGGAAGAATGCAAGTAAGAAAAGGAAATGACTAAGACATTGTTGTTGTTGTTGCTGTTGATGATAATGATTATATTTTCAATGTTTCAAAATAGCAATAATTATTATTTGCTGTCAACAAATGTTCGGATGAATGGATTATGTTCACATATAAATATATTACTATAGTCTGACTTGAGCTATTCAATGGTTACTTCTGAGTAGTGGTCACTTGCCAACAACAGTCATGCTAATTCCCCATGAAAATCCCGATTTAAATGGCCATGGAGAGTGGTCACTTGCTGTGTACAGCCAGCGGTCAATTGAATAGGCTTCCTTTTGGCCATTTTGAACCCAAACAATGGTCAGTGTCACTTTGTTGACATCATGATGTGACAAGATGTGAATAATTCAATGAATAACTCAATGTTGCGTATCATTAATTGATATTGCTTGTTTAGACACGCTTGATTGTAACATATTCAAACTGACAAAACCTTTTGCTTTTAATTGATGGATGTGCTCGTTTGAATTTAATTGAGTGAAACGATTTTTTTTATAAATCAAGCAAGTACAAAGTGGAAGTTACAATTGTAATCAGCACTAGGAAACAAAACAAAATGCTGTGATTGGGATTAATAGAAGTGATATCTAAAATGACCATAAACAGTTAATATCAAGCTTTATATTCCTCAGTTAAAAAATCAAAATACACCATAAGTTTCTGACAAGAAGTTTTTTCTGAAAATTAGATCTTTAAATAGACTAAATTGATCGTGACCTTTACTCATAAATGACCTTGAGAAACAAATTATTTGATTTCTCTTGATTTTTGCTATAACTGACTATTACTTTGTTATTTATGAATTGATTGTCTTCAAACTTGAAGAAAACTTTATTTTGGTCCTTGACTCATAATTAACCTGAATCTTATAGGTTCAATTATTGAAAATTCACTGTTTCTTTCTAAAACTGAAAGAATCAAGTTGATTTTCTTCATACACAACAATCCTTTGAACAAGACATTTCAGAAAATCTTAATTGACTGACCTTCATTTGACCTTGCAATTTAAGTTGACATTGAAATTTGCATTTATTCATGGATGTGATTTATGTATTTTTATGTATATTTATTTACTTGGACAAAAGAGCACTTACGTGTACTACAAAACTTACATGATGAATAATTTAAATAGGACTTTTAAATGACATTGATTGTCAAGGACAAATTATTGAATTAAGCATAAATTGTCCATACCTTTGTTACATTTTTTACAGATTTGATTCCTTCTTGGACAAAGGAATACTTATGACAAGACCGACTTGTTGAATGCGTCAAATATGACAGTGACCTTCAATTATCCTTGACCATCAAGATCAAATTATTGTATTTTGCTTAAATTGTCATAATTGTTATTTATTTACTGATCTGTTTCATTCTTGGACAAAAGAACGCTATACTGATACGATTAATAGGTCAAATATGACTTTGGCACATAAATTACTTAGACTGTCAAGGTCAAATTATTGAATTTAGCTCTGACTATCATCACTGTTATGACATGTTGAATATTTCATGTATGACAACCCTTAAATGACCAAATGTTTAAATTGTCATAGCTATGTAATTTATGTATGGATTGGATCATGCTTGGACAACACCACATATGACACAATAGATGTGTAGTGACCTCACAATGATCTTAATTGTCAATGTAGAATTATTGAATTTTGCCTAAATGATCATTTGATAATGTTTATACAGGTTTGATTTTTAACAGTACAATATACACACTTATTGCAAAATTGACTTAAGTTACTTTTCAAGGTTGACATTGACCTCAAAATAACCTTATCTGTTTTTCAGGGTGTGAGAATTCTTTGCTTCAATTTTGTTCCTCAGGTGTTTTGATTTAGAAATAAAAAAAGTAAAGCTTGAACCCCCCCCCCTCCCCCCCAAAAAAAAAACCTTGCATAGAAGTGGTAGAAGTGGCTCTATTTAGCTCACCTACCACAAAGTGACATTGTGAGCTTTCGTGATCGCAATTCGTCCAGTCTGCGTCCATCTGTCTATCTGTCATCAGTCCGTCCTTAAACTTTTACTATAAATGACATCATATAAACCTTTCAGCATATTTCATCCAAACTTTACAGGAATGTTTCTTGGGTGGTCACCATTGAAAATCGTTCAAAGAATTGAATTCCATGCAGAACTCCGGTTGACATAGCAATGGAAAGAAAAAAAATAAAAAATCTTCTTTTAAAAACCCAATTCAAAGTGCTAAAGCTTAGATTTTCAGCATGAAACATCTTCTAGTGGATTTCTACAAATTTTGTTAAATAAAAGCCCTGGGGTCAAAATTGGCCCTGCCCAAAGGTGTAATTGATTTTCCTTATATGTATACTGTAAAAAAATTGAAAAAAAAATCTTCTCTTAATCTACAAGAGCTAAATCTTAGTTTCCATAGCAACCAGTGACTTCATAGCAGCCATTGACTTTCCATAGAAAACTGTAAATTTTTAAAGCAAACTTTAACTCTCCAAAGCAACGATTGAATCTACCATTCAATTTCAGAGCAGGCACTGACTTCCAAAGAAACCATTTATTTTGTATAGCAAGCAGTGACATCTTAAACTGTAGTTTTCCCTTAGAAATAGCAACAGGGTAAGATTTTACAAGTACACTATTTCAGATACAAAAATGAACTTTGTGATATCAGTCAAAGATCTAGATTTTATTTATGCTTTCATTTATAGTTTTCAATATCACTTGTTCTTTGTCATGTCGAATATTTATATTCAGGTGCGCGATATTCGGGCCATCATGGCCCTCTTGTTTCTGGTATATATATTTTTCTTTTTGATTGTCTTTGTTATGTTTTTGTTGGTATGTATGGCTAGTAAAAGACATTAAAATTACAAACTATATGTTACACATAAAATATCCAGACATATTATATGGCTTGGTTCTTACGAGGTTGAACTAGGGATGTTTTGGGTCGTTCGTGGCCGATTAGTTAAAATCGTTGACTCCAAACCACTTGTCCCTCACTGCTGAAGGACTTTGGATTCTTTCATGTGAGGAAGCTATCCAATGTCGGTTGTAATCTACTTTGGCTTGTTGGTACAAATAATGAATGGAAGAGCACCTGATATCTTCCTCTACCCATATTGTGTTGGTGTGACGTACTCCATTTGTACTTAAGAGACCGATTGATGGCAATCCACAAAACTTGTGTGTTTGTACATGACCACTGTCAAGTAAAATTTACCAGTCTAATAAAAGGACCTACCTGCAAGAGCTAAAACAAAAAGGTTTTCTTGTGTACATTATATTGATCATTACCAAGGCTTTAATATCTTTAATACATCGTCCTCTTATCACTATTGCTGACTTAAATTTTGCCTTTCTGTTTTAAAAATTATTTCGATCAACCTTGGCCATAGATGTTTTTTGCTTATGTAAATACCGTATATATGCGTTCTGTTCTGTTTATTAGCCGTTGTCAACTGACTACGTGCCAAATTGAGCTCTTTTTAACGAGATTTCTAAAACTAACTTGGTAGCCCAATATTGATTAAACTAAGTGCTGTTTAATGATGTTATAATAACAGGAATCACATGTGCAAATTCAAAGTTGTGATTGCAAACAGTTATATTTATGCAGGGCTCTTTAGTCCAACAAACTGTACTACCAGTTGATGTATTGTGCTATTTTATGTTTAGGCAATATGTCGAGGTAGAAGCGATATTCCGACCCAGAACAAAGAGTACCCCACAATGTAGCTTTGAATGTTGTAATATTTTTACTATCAGAAGGTTCTGAATCACTGGAGTCAATCATTCTTCGGCGAAAGTTCTCATGAGGTGAAATCAGTTTTTTTTCATGCAGCCTGTATCTCAATGGTCATCTTTTTTGTCATATTGTTTATATAACGTAATGTTTTACTTTTGAAAGTGATATATAATTGCCAATCATAATAATTTTCAAAAAAATATTATTAATTGTATTTTCAACCCATATGGACATTTTAAAAAAAGGATAATTCCATTAACCCATTAGCAAAGGTCAAAGGCGCAGAAATGACATATATTCTTGTCTTGATGTACAGCTATGAAATTTGGACCAGGAGTACAGTTTTAGATTAAAAAATTAACCTTGATATCAAGTGACCAAGATTTTGACAAAGTGACCTTGTCCTTTGATTTACAGCTATGAAATTTGGGACTTCAGATTTAATTCTGAACTTTGAACATTGTGGAAATGATTCATACCTTGATGACAGAATCTTTTTTTTTCAAAGGAATAATTCTGATTATTATCCATTAGTACGAGCCACATTTTGACAATCATTTAAAGTCATATGCAAATGTATATATGTGGAACACTCGACCGCCGGCTCACAAGCATAAAGCACCCTAGTCCACTTAGCCAAGTCATCGATTTTCTGAAGCAGTTGTCAAAAGTTGTAGTTACAGCATTTTAAGCTATTTTCTCACCTCCGATCAGATCAACTCGATCGTCCCGATCACAATAATTCCCCGATAAAGCCCGACCAAGCTGGATTAAATGCAAATTCACGACTCCTACACGACCTCAAGTCGACCATGTTTACGACTTCTTCTCGACGACAACCCGACCAACATCCCGACTTCTTCTCGATCACCCAGACCTATACGCGAGTCATACACGATCTCAACTAGACTAACTGGACCTCTGCTCGATCGTTGCCAGATTTCCACCCGACCAGATCGGATAATGCTCGAGTAGAAGTCGAGATGATCGTGTACAGATCGGGTAAGAGATGTATACCCGATGTATACCCGACCAAACTAGATCGTTACACGATTTATTCTCGATCAACTAGATCTTCTACTCGATCACTATACGATCGCTTCTCGACGTCTTATCTACTCGATCGCTACTCGAATTTTTTTGACATGTCAAAAAAATTCGGGTAGGAAGCCCGAGCCATGCCGACCAAGGTAGACCGCTCCGACCACCCCCGATCACGCATGCAGACCGAGCTAGACCGCTACCCGATCGCTTGATCGAGTTGATCTGATCGGCGGTGAGAACACAGCATAATGTAGGTTTGAAGATTTTATATATTTTGTGTCCAGTCCATAACTTATTCATAGATGAAGGGATTTTAAAAATTCTTTGCACAAATAATCACAATAATAAGACGATATGTCAGGTGCAAAATATGGGTCCCTATCTTCAAGGTTACACTTAGAGGTCAAAGATTAACATAGTCTGTTATAGGGTATATTTTGTGTTCTATCTTTTACTTCTTCATAGTTCAAGGGATTTTGAAAATACTTGGCACAAATAGTGACAATAATAAGATGATATGTCATGCACAACACCTGTACCCCTACCTCCAAGGTCAAGGTTACACTTAGAGGTCAAAGCTTAACATGAGCAATTTTTAAATTCTTTGTGTCATTTTATTTCTTTTATAAATGTATTGTTGCATTTGCAGATCTAGCATTGATCATAATTTTGGACTGAAAGTCCTAAGATCCATACCTCAATCATTTGAAAAAGCACAATTTTATGCATCACAGGACGTTGGTAACTCTGTTACAAACTCTTGTATAAACTTATTTAGGAAAACACATTTAAGTCTTATTGTGTATAACTACAAAGCCCATAGCTTAGATATTTGGCATGTAGCATCAATTTGTAGATTTCCACAAAAGTTTATTTATCTTGACTCTCAGGTCAAAATTAGCCTTGGTCCTGAAGTAACTTGCTTTATGTATACTAACATATAGGAAAACATATCTTTTTTGCGGATAAATACTATGCCTCTATATTTGGCATAATTATAGCATTGCCTAGAACACCTCTATATAAGTTTTATGAATCATGCACTTAGGGTAAAAAATGCCTCCACCTTGGAGGTCATATAGTATCATAAGGATCATTAAGATAAAACATTTGTCAGACAAGTTGTTTGATTGTTCTTTATCCTAATAAAAAAAATATTTTAGATACTCAAACAAATTTACATTCGAGGGTATATTGCCCTGCCTCTGCGGTGCTCTTGTTATTCAAATTGGCTCCAGAAGACAAAAAAAGGAAAACCTTTTTTTTCTTTAATTCTACTTTTAAAAGATTTGATGTTTGCTTTTAGAAAAGTGAAAAAAGTCATGGAAACCCCAATGTCTTTTTATAAATAAAAAGTGTATATCTGTTTAAATGAATCTGTTAGTTCAGACAATGAGCTGTTTACACATATAAATCTTTTGTTATTTAGTTGTTAAATTTACTTTTAGTACTAATTACCAGTTGGAATGTCAAAGTCCTCTAACATATCAATAACTTATTGTTCTTGGCAGAAATATATTGAGAAGCTGCAAAAAGACTGGGTTGATGATCTAACTAAAATGATCCACACACCATCACACAAGATTATGGCGAGACCGGCTATCCCATGGAAGCCAAAGTTGACAGCTGGTGGGTAAATAGGCATGAAGATCTAAATCCAACAAATAAAGATAATTTCAGCACTGAACATAATGACAAGGGTAAAGATGCCAGGAATACAGAACATGCTGTTGATCACAAAAAACATTATGATGACAATAACCATAATTGTAGGAATTATTCCTCTAAACATGTCGATGACCACACAAAACATAACGATAGTAAAAAAGAGGATGACAAACAATCCTAAAAACAAAGGGGTGACCGTCAACATCATGGGAGAAACTTCAAAAAGAATGAAGACATAAGGAAAGAAACTGAAGATGGCAACCAATCAAGGACCAAAGATAAAGATAGTCAAGAGAAAAGAAGTCATTCGCCATTGAGAAATGAGACAGCAATTCCTAAGACAGATAACAAACGTTCTGTTGGTAAAGAAAAAGGTTCATCATTAAACATAGGACATAAACTAGCAACACATGCCGATAGAGATAGTACAGTTATGGAAAAAACTGTGAAATCAAATCAAGGTAATAAAAAAGACAAAAACGCCAATAAACACAATAAGGATAAAGGAAAGCAAGAGAATATTGTTGAAGAGTTTGATATAGGAGTTGTAATGGCTGATTATTCAAGTAATGATCAGGTAATAGACAAGAAACCAGAATCACCATCAAATAAGTAGGAAAGGATGGTCTCAACATGATGGCACACATTCTGAAGAGATTCATGAATCTGTAACTGATAGAGCTGAAGGAATGTTCTGCCAAGAGAATTCTAGAAGAAAAAAGAAGAATGCAAAGAAAAAGAAATGACTAAGACATTGTTGTTGTTGTTGTTGTTGTTGTTGTTATGATTATATTTTCAATGTTTCAAAATAACAATAAGTATTGTTTGCTGTCAACAAATATTTGGGATGAATGGATTATGTTTGCATATAAATATATTACTATAGTCTAACTTGAGCTAATGGTCACATCTGAGTAGTAGTCACTTGCCAAAAACAGTCATGTTGATTCCCAACCCACTCCCTATTTAAATGGCCATGAAAAGCGGTCAGTTGCTGTCTGCGGCCAGCGGTGACTAGAATAAGCTTCCCTGTGGCCATTTTGAACCCAAACAATGGTCAGTGTCACTTTGTTGACATCAAACAAAAGGTATGAGGATACAAATAACTCAGTGTTGGGTATCATTAATGTCCATTGTTTAGACACGCTTGATTGTAACATATTCAAACTGACTTAACTTTTCCGTTTAAAATGATAGACGTGCTCGTTTGAATTTAATTGAGTTAAACATTTTTATTTATAAATCAAGCAAGTACAAAGCGGAAGTTACAATTGTAATCAGCACTAGGAAACAAAACAAAATGCTGTGATTGGGATTATTAGAAGTGACATCTAAAATGACCATAATCAGTTAATATCAAGCTTTATTTTCCTGAGTTCAAAAATCAAAATACATCATAAGTTTCTGACATGGAGTTTT